CATACTCCCGCAAATGCTTGTTTTTCTTTTCTGTGAGATTTTTTTTTTTTTTCCATTTTAAATAAATCAAGAGTTTAGCAATAAAAGCTAATGCTGAAAGGAAATGGTGCAGGTGAGCTCTGTAGAATTTCATGCTGTATTTATGAACGGAAACCCTTTTCAGGAGAGTCAACTGGGTTTGAAAAAAACAAAGTGGCAGGTAGCTCCTCTGCTGCCCAGAAGGTGAGAGTAGTGCGGCTATCTTGCTAAACCTCCTTTGTTACTCTTGCTGTTCTGGAGGTACAGAATGCCAGGAAGATGCAACTCTGGAGTACCTATTTCTAAATCCTGCCATTTTATTCCGAAATGAAGAGTGTCTCTGTTCTAATTCTGTTGTAACCTGAGGAGGAATTCGGTGGTAACTGTTGTGCTTTAAATTCGCACCTTGTGATACTCCCAGTTGCCAATGACAGGCAAATTCTATTTTTTCTTCTAGTTTCATTGCTGTAAATCCAGAATAACCCTGTTGAGATGAGCCAGTAGTTTTCAGTAACATCTACAAAATGTGTCATTTCAAAGGAATGACTCTGGATTTTACCACGCAAATCTGGCCCACAGTGTGTGAAAAGAGAAAGTCTGAGTTAAGCAGACCAAACCACTCCCTTGACTGAAACATCTTCAGAAGCTCTGTAGTAATGCGATAGGCAGCAGTTCTCACTCAGTGTCAGGAAGAACTGAACATCAAAGGAATAATTAACATCTCATTTAGCTGTGAGACCTGGATCTAGGTGGGTTCCTGCATTAAAAAATTTCTTCCAGAGCCTGGGAAGGTTGGGGCTGCTCACTCTGCTCCGTGAGGCTGCTGCCCATCTCCCCGAGCTCTTTTACAGTAGGGAGTGCAGGCTCCATCCCTTGGTGCTTTTGAGGACTGGGTGCTGTGAATGTCCTAAAGAGCCCCAGTCTTCTGGCGTTAAAGGAAATGCAGGGATATAAGCACACCTCAGTACCCAGGCATCTTGCTTAAACATTGGTACAAAATCACTTTAGGCATGTCATATTTTTTCTCAAAGCTGAGAATCTCAGCGTAATCCTCCTCAGAAATCCATCAGAGGCATGTTGGAGAAAATGTCCAACTCCTACACAGGTCTCTTCTGTAAAAACGGGATTTGCTCTGCCATGTTCTTGGTGACTAATTGCTGCATTACGCAAGTCAGGGTATTAATGTACAATGGGGCACTGGGGCCTTCCGTGCCGAGTGCCTGTTCTCAGCGCTCCCATCACCAGCTATCACCTTGCAGCCACACCACAAAATCGGGGGGTCAAGATTTTACATCCCCACCCTGGAGCTCTGCAGAACTGTGGGAAGAGTGAGGTGTGCGTTCTTCTGGTTGGAAGAGGTCCTTGTTGTAGCTCCCTGGGGCAAGGACAGGTGGGGACTTGAGCTCCTGCCGTGCTCACTGCTGCCTTCGTGGCCCCCTCCTGTCCCAGGCCCCTTCTGCTTCCCCGCACAGCTCAGCCCCAGCAGCTTTGGCTTTCCCAGGTGCTTGGTTCCTCCTGGAGGAGAGGTCTCAGTTTCAACACTTCGGGTTTTTATGGTCATTTATTGCTACCTGAAACACCATTTTGATTTCCACAGCCTCTTGCTGAGCCTCGTCGCTCCCTGCCATGGCAGGTAAAGCCTGCTGGCTCCGAGGAGGGATGGAGGCAGCAAGTTCTCGCCGGCTGCGCGGCCTCCGCAGCCTGTTTGCAGGCAACTGCTCCTTAACTTCTCTTGTTGACTTCCCGGTCCCTTTGTTCAGCCTTTTAAATTTCCCTTTATTGTTTTAGGCTGTCTGCAAATATATTTGTTTTTCTTCCAAAAAGCCTTCGCTTGCTCAATTAGCAAGAGAGCTCTTTGCAGAGAGTGGCTGTGGTGCTGCCATCGCTAAGTGCTTCTGGAGCGCTGGCTCCTCCCCAGAGGGGTTTACCCTTGCAGTCCTTGTGCTGCCCGGTGCTGTACATCTCACTGCAATATCACCGCCTGGTGCCTTGCAGAAAAGGAGCTTGTGTGGCACAGGGGTTTGGATGTGTTGCCACAAATGAGGCCAATCCAGATGGGCTCCGGCCAAGATCTTAACCGCAACTTTTGCTCCCTGCCCTATTGGGTCAATAGTGTGTCCTCCCCGCACATGGGCTCTTTCACCATCCAGAGTTTTATTTGCTTTTGTCTTACTTAATGGTTCTGCCACTTTGTTTGGAGCAGAGGTTATGAGGATACAAGTCAAGCCTCTCACATGCTGGGAGAGAAGGGTGGGTGCTGCCTGCTGCAGTGCTGCACATACCTCCTGTGTCTCCGTGCCAGCCACCCCAGCGGGCTGAGCCCTGGGAGACCAGCACTCAGCCGGGACCCGCACACAGCCTGCACTGTGCAGGAACATCTGGAAACGGCCTGGGTCTGGAAGGCACCTCCCTGCCTGTCCTGGGGCAGTCCCCGTGCTGTCCCCAGCGAGCCCGTGCCCTTCTCCAGCCCCAAGCAGCGGAGGACGGGCTCCCTTCAGCTGGAGGCAGCTCCGTGGAGCGCTGCCCTCCTTCCTCCTGAGCACCCCGGTAGGAAACCTCACCAAAGAGGCTGCAGAAGCCTCTGCCACTCCATCTGCATTCAGTCTTTGTCTGAACACAGGATAAAGAATTTCTCCTCTCGGGGGGATTGTGGCACTTTGTGTTGCTATTTTCCCTGTTTTTGCAGTCTGTTTAAATTGTGGGTTTGCCCTTAGAAGCCGGGGGCTAAAGCCTAGTAGAAAACTGTTTACAATGCTGCTTACAAAATCTTTGTAGAGTTCAGAGGCTGTTTCAGCAAGACATTCCTGAACAGTTCTTTGCTTTATGTTGGCCCCAAACAATTCCCTTACCCACTGTGGGTGCTACTGCATGAGAGCTCAGGCTGGGCCAGCAGACCTGCAGCATCTCAGGCTCTTCATCCACCACATGCAAGTGAATGCCATGAGTGTGAGTGCAGGTAAATATTGGGACACCTTCTGGAGCCTTGCGGCCTGGCTGACCTGCTTTGGCTAAAGCTTGGGCAGGAACTTGCTTTGCTCTTGCATAGAAGCTGGCAGTTACGATCTCATTCCCGAGGCCCACAGCTCACAAGATCCTCTCAGCTCCCTTGAAGACCCTGCCCTATGTGGGTGGGAGGGCTCGTGGGCTCGCTCCCAGCACAGGGCTGACTTTTGCCCTTGCTGGAGCCAGGGAGTTGTAGGAGCTGGAAATTTGCTTTGTGTGATTGATCGCATCTGTATGGCACATAGCGCTGCGTTGCGAAACGGCCCTTTCATGTGTCAGACTGACTCGCAGTGTGACCTGATGTAAATGTAAGGGTATATTTAAGGAACAACTGAAATTTACAAAAAACAGTTCTACGTTTGTTTTTTTTTTTTTTTTTTTCCTTCTTAGAGCAAAAGGCCCTTGTCAGCTGATGAATGGGGCACAGCATCCCTCAAGGGAAATGGGGACCCTTGTGGTGGCTGTAGGCATGGGGGCTGTGCCCTTAGCTGCCAAAACGCTCCACCCCACTGCCCCATCTGGCCACGGCGAAGCTGTCCAGCTCACGTCTGGGTGATTTGATGAAGAGGCTGAGGACCCAGCCCTGCCTTTCCCTGCTTTGCAGCACCCCACTGTGTGATCTCAGGCCAGTCTGCGTGAGACCCACCACAAAGGCACTCAGGCCCTGAGCTCCCGGATAGATGCATGTCCTTCAAACTCGGGGTGACCTGGCAGTAGGAACTGGGCATTTAAACCAGATCTGCCCCTGCTGCTCCCTTTCCCCCTCTGCCTTTTGGTGTTTAGCTCACACATACGGTTTGCCTTTGACTTTATTTACAGCACAAAGTGAGGTCTTTGCAATCCCAGTAGAGCCATTAGGTGCTTGCTAAGTATTAGCGCTGGGACCGTGGAACAGAGAGAGCCGACCGCTGGCTGGCTCGGGGCCTGCTGTGATTGCAGAAAGGGAGTTACTGGGAGGGGGGGCTTTATCCCATCAACACCTCCCTATCACTGCTGAAGCGATGCTACCCGTACATGTCAACACCAAAACATATCTCTGCTGCACACAGCCCATCTACTGGCGGCAAATGCCACCGGGAAAGATGCCCTTTAATTAATGCACTTCATAACAAATCATGGATCCGTCCACGGAGGCAGGCACCTGTGTAGGTGCTGTGGGGCTGCCTGTGTACGGCTCCTCCTGAGCACTGTGTGCAGGGCTGGGTCCTGAGCATTTCACTTGGGGTGGGAAGTGAGTTTCTGGATGCCAGGTCTCAGACTGCGTATTGTATGTTTTTGTGAAGAAGAAAAGAGTGACTCTGGGCGTGATCTGGCGCTTCCTTGCGTGAGGCCTGGGACCGGGGACATCTGAGAGGCCCGTGCCATTGCGGTGGGACCACGATGGAGGTGCCAGGCCACGTGCAGGGTGCGCCCCTGGCTGCACCCCATGCACAGACTGAAAGCCAGCAACAGCAGCAAACCTAAATGGAAGGGATAGAGAGGCCCGAAATGAGGTCAGAGTGGCCCTTACGTGCGAATTAGAGTGAGTTTCCAGCCCTGCCTTCCCGTCACTCTCCAAGAAGCCTCCCAGCATGGAGGGGTGCGGGGGCTGCAGGCTGACAGTGATGAGAGGGTGAGGAGCGCCAGAGAGCATTTCCCATCCGTGGTAAATCATGAAAAAGGGACGGGAAAAGGATCTTGTGCTCAACTCGCGGTGTTAAAATGAATTCACAAGTGTCTCAGAAAGCTGAAAACAGCCATTCCTGGAGTGGTGAGCAGCGTGCCCTGCTCTGCACAGGATTTAGTGCTTCTCTTAGCACAGTGAAAACTGGCTCCATGCACCTCAGGCAGAGCCAAGGCAAAGTACTTGGCACCCGCATTTGTTAGTGCGTTACCTTTGAGTTCTGCCTCGGGTTGGGCTGAAGAAGACAGATGATCCATCATCTACTGCTTGTTTGTCTGGCCCTGCTGACTTCAGTGAAATGCTTTTGTTTTACCAGGGAAGCTGGAGCACTTCATACGCAAGCCCGTCCCATGAACTTGAAGACTGTGGGCGCTGGATGGGAATCAGTCCCAGCCCTTCACAGGCTGCAGTCCCTGCAGGAGCCCTTGCTGTGCTAATGCAGAGGGTACGTTGCCTCTTTCTACCCTGTAACAACCATCTCATAACTGACAACTCTCCTGTACAGCTGTGGTAACTCCATGTGACTCTTGTATACAAAACCACAACAGCACAAACTCCCCTGGTGCTGCTCTGATCCCCCAGTGAATCCCAGCCATGCAGCTTGGATAAGTCAAGCACACACTGGTATCTGGCTGTTGTCTTTTCTTTAAGCAAGTGCATGTATGGCTTTGTCCCTGAGAGCCAGAGCAGCACATGGATCTGCAGGGTGAGACCTGCCATTGGGCACTGCAAGTACCAGAAGAGCAGTCAGAGCAGCAAATTTCAGTGTAAGAGCTAGGCAGAAAAACTGGGGAGAAGTGGTGTTTGTTTTGGATTGATCAGAAACAAGTTTTTTTCAGTGCTTTCTGGAAACAAACAAACAAACAAACAAAAACCCTGCTAAAGGAAATTGTATTTTAGTTTGAAGCAAATATTTCATTTTGTTTTGAAATGCTCTTTTAGCTTTCAAACTTTTTTGAGTTTCATTTTGACATGAAAAGTCGAAACATTTTGTTTTGCAAATGTCAGAGCAAAATAGTTCAGCCTCTTGATAATTTTCCCTTTTTTCTAAACCAGAGCCAACTGTTGTAGATCCCACCCTGGTGGTCTGTCATCGCACCTTGCCCCTGGGACGAGGATCTGCGGGAGGATGCTGGTGCCCTGATCCTGACAAAGAGGTAACTGCATCCCTGAGCACACTGAGTTGTGGAAATTCGGGGTGGGAAGGCTCTTTGGCCTCTTTGGAAGGCTCTTTTTTTGTGTCTTCAGTGTTCTGAGACACTTGAAAGTTAAGGGCAGGATGCAGAGGGCCCTAAAACAACTGGGGAGATGTCCACTTCAGTTTCCCCATGGGTTGGCCAGGGTGAGCAAGCATGTGAGAAAGCGAGGCACTGACCATCTGCTTGCGTTTTCTGCCAGTAATGAATTACAAGCTTGTTTCAAAATGACATTTACATGTAGAAGTGCTGGAAGGAATTATTTTCACAGCTCAGGGAAGCAATTCGGTTTGGTAGCAGAAAGCCTGTCAAATTGTAAGCCAAAAAATGGGGATTTTCCAAGGGAAGTAGAGATGAGCAACTGTACGTGTTCGGGTCAGTCTTAGCTTCTGCTTATTTCTCTGAATATCTCAGTGGTGAGAGCTAATAGGGATAAGGATGTGTCAGCCCTATGCCAGGTAGTGGATTTCAGCCTACAGCAGCACCAGCTCTTGCAGTTTTACCACAGATTTTGTTACAGTTGTTTTTCAAAGGTCTGGTTCCTCACATCCTGTAATTATGTGAGAGTTTCAGCGTTCTTTAAAACTGGAGGTAAATTGTCAACTTTTCTGATTGTATAGAATAGCCTGAAAACAACCAAGAAATTTTGAAAGGAAGAAGGGCAAGCAGAGGAAGCCTGAAATTACTTGTCTTTGAATTCTCGAGATTTGTAAGGCAAACTCGTGATTTTGTGGCCTAGGACAGGCCTGCTAAATGTTTGGTATTGGCAATGCTGTGTTTATTTTCCACACTTGGATTTCTGCATGGCTTTATACACTTTATGAAAAATGCAGTATTTTAAGTTATTTTTTAAAAGGAAGCAGATCGCTTTGCTGGATGATCTCCAAACCAGACTGTAACATACAATAAAAATTCTATAGTGCACTGTAACAGACTACAAAAGGCTAAGATGTTACTTTACCAGCACAAAAACCAGGCATATTACAGAGGAAGAGAATTATATGGTATATTGCTTGTACTTATGGACAAAAGAAAAGGAAAAAATATATACTGTGTGTGTATACTGCATATAGAAATTACAGAACAAAATTTAATTAGATATTTATACATAAAATCCACATATGCTGATTTATGATATATTTAATTCTCAGCCTTTGAAATGATGGCTGCCTTCACTCTGAAACCCAGTCATTTGCAGACATCAGGTCTGTAATTCAGGAACTGTCACAACCAGAAGTTTGTGGATTTGAGTCTGGCAAATGCCAGTCCCAGCATATCTCTGTTTCAGAGGCAAATGCTAGGATTCCCAGGGAAGGAGGCAGGGGAGGAAGGCATGCTGCAAAAGGCATCTGTAACTTTTTTTTTTTTCTTTTTTTTTTTCCAACGTGTAATTTTAAAGATTAAGTTGCTTGTTCTGGTCATTAAAAAACAACACCAGTGTAACGCATAGTTGTAACTAAAGAGAAAATGTATGGTCTTTATAGGCTCCATCTAAATGTTCCCCTCCCTAAAGGGAAAGTTTCGTGCTGTATTTGCAAGAAGTATGTGATTAGTACCCAAATCATGAGTGAGGACTAAAAGCAGCTGGAACACCGGCCTTTCTCGTGTGAAACAGGGAACACATGACTGGATCAAGACCTTGCGAACCATGCATATTAAAGGCTAGACTGTGATGTCTTTACTCACACTTAGAAGTGTCAGTCTTCCTGGATCACAGCGATATATCACGGACTTCCACTTCTTTGCCTCACTGCTGAGAGCAAGTTACAGACCTGGTTTCCTGTACTCCTCTAAGCACCTTCAGAGGTTAGTGCCTAAATGACTCCTGAGAACAGGAATTCAGGCATGGTTTCTTGATGTGGTTTGAGCTGCATTATTGTTTGCTTCTGCTGAAAGAGGGAGATCCTGTTCTTCCATCTTCCTCCCACCTTCTGGCCACGTATTCCTGCCAGTCGAGCTGTGTCACTCAGAACAGTGGAAAGGCTGCACGGTCCTCTCATGAAGTCATCAGCTTCTGCATGGACGCCTTGGCTGCTGAACACAGTGCAGCACATGCTTTCCTGAGTACCACTTCTTCCTTTTTGCACAGTCCCAGAGTTGCCTCCAGCTGCCACGAAAGGGTCTGCAGGAAATAACTATACAAGTAGTAGCCCCTAGCCAAGCGGGGATGTTCTGTGGTTGGTCTTAATCAAAGCCTCAGAGGAACGTGGTGGGAGAGGGTGAAGCTGAGCATCAGGATTTACTTTTACCCCTCTAAAACTGAATCTAGTTCAAAAGAAAATGTCTGTTCCAGTTATAGAAATAGGGGCTCAACTAGAGACAAAACAAGAGCTAATAGAGTTTTTAGCCACATCTGACTGGAGGTAAAATTGGATTTTAAACTTTAAAGTAGAATCCATAAAGAACCAAAGCATGCAGCAGGAGTCTCGCTGGAGAGTGCATTCTGCTGCTGACCAAAACAAGCCAGCAACAACTGATTTTGATTTAAAAGAAAGAAATTCATGTTTGCAACTAGTTTAGCATCTGCCATGGGAGATGTAAAAGGTTGTGATGGGTGAATAGTTTACTGTTGCACCTAATCCTAAAGACAGGTTTATTTAATCTCTTGTGAAGATTGGTTTGTGTCTTTTACTATGGAGCTTGCACGTCATGTGGCCCAGCTCTCCTCTCCAAGTTAAGTAGGTAGAGGTTGAATGATGCAGCTCTCCCACAGCAGAAATATCACTAGTTGATGGCTCTGTCTCAGTGATATTGAAAACAGACATCAAGGCGCTTTTCACTAACACATTCCATCAATGCTAGAGACTTGTCACGCAGGGAGCAAACACTGAGAGAAGCAAAGGAAGCATTTACAATTTGCTGCCGTGAAAGGAGACAAGATAAATCAATAGGAACTAAATTAGCACAGCCAGCGGCCTTCACACCTACTTTGGGAACTCTATTAAAATCCATGGCCTAGAATTTGCAGGAGGGATTATATGCATGAAGAGTGAGTCAAGATTTTAAAGTAAGCTAATGTAAGTGACACCCACTTCTCAAACTGCCTGAAAACACATACTGCCAGAATGAGCTGCCAAAGACCGGAGTTCTAGTAAGTAGTTGCTGGCTGTCATTGGCCTCAGATAAATACATTGGGAGGGGAATGGTGGAGGAGTCAATCAAAAGATAACACTCAGCAAAGCTCAGTTGCTTGCATAACACAAGGAGTCCTCAGTTTTAACTAAGGCTGAACATACGTCTCTGTTCGAGGGCATCTTCAAAAGCAGGACAGCCCAATCAGAATCCAAAGAGAGAGATCTGAGAACAGCACGCAGGAACGAGGTCTGACAAGTACCTCGTGGGATGGAGTTGGTTGTGTTACTGTGCTGCTCTTGGTTGACCTTTTTAATTCAACTGAAACGGTATCTTTCCTAGGCTTTTGCTGAACGTTGCAGATTTATGACAGCATCCCACTGATACACTGAGGCACAAGAAGACTTGTTAAAAGTAGAGTTGAGGTAATTAGTCTTGCAGAAATCTGTGTATTGATGTAGTGAGTGTGGCATTTCCAGGAAGCAGTGTGTGCTGTGCAGTTGGTCTGCGCACAGTAATTATTGTAGTAGCACAGAGCTGGCTCCAATCTCCCAGGGTCCCGTGTGTGTTCTAGAGTCCATCTGTGTGTATGTGACAAATTGAGGATTTCCCAAAGTCCAACAATTGCTACTCTCAGGCCAGCTGCTGGACATCCAGGAATCCTGGACAGATGCATAGAGCCCTCTACTTCTGCCAGGCAGAACTTGTAGGAGAAAAAAAAGTATCCAGCAAAACCTGAACACGTGGCAGGTCTTCGTGAAGAAAATACCACTGTCAGCACATTCAGTCCTGTCTCCCAGCCTCTTACTGTCTCAGGGCACCTTCAGCAGAAGTTCCTGCTTTTCTGGTAGTGACAGCAGCGTGCTGGTAAAGTGCACGGTGAAGGAAAAGGAAGACATCTGTCACTGAAATGCTCTGGGCTTACAGGAGAAGAAGGGCTGCATTAGGACTGGCAGCACAGCAGTGGGTTTTTCAGCTCTGCCCCTTTCCAGAGCTTCCCATGGAAATTGGTACGTGCAGGCCCTGGCTCTGCGCTACAAAAGGCTACAGACCTCAGTCACTTACCCAGCGCCTGACGGAGGAACTGCAGGGATGAACTAGTCTGGTCCTGCACCGTTTGGCAGCCTTTTGTGGAAGAACACGGGCCTCATGCAAGAGCAGAAAGGCACCACTCGGTAGTTAAATGGCAACTCAAAGTTGTCAAAGTAGGTAAAGAACAGGGGCACACAACCAGCCCCAGTGGTGTGTTTCAGCTTCATTTACAGTTCTAAAGTGTGTTGAGCTCTTCACACGGGAGCTGCTATAGAAACACAAGACTTTAATAGCATGGAATATACAATGAAGAACAACCAGTGTACAACACATGTAGTCTGAGCAGGAAGAGAACTCTGTGCGTGCTCTCTGCGGTTGTGTGGGTCTTAAGCATGCATTAAATTGCAGCAACTAAAGGTGGTAGAGTACAGACCATAAACTTGAATTCCACTGCAAAAGTGTCAGGGCAGAGATGGGACTAACATGATTAAAAGGAAAAGTGATTTTAGGAGCCTCTGTTTTGGTGAGAGAGATTTCAGAATTGCTTTTCAAAGGTCGGCTGCACATTTTCAGAATACCAGGCGCCAGGATTGCTCTTCTCTTTTGTAAACCCCCTGATGTTTCTTATGCATTGGCACTGCACCTCGCTGGGGGGGACTTTGTTTCACAACGGGATATTTGGGCACTGCAGTAATGGGAACTAGGCAAAATTCAGGAGGACTTTCATGCTGAATCACAGCTTATCTTCTGCATAGCAGAGGGGAAGATTCCAGATCTTTTCTTCTTCTTTTTACCTTTAAGAGATTTATGGCAAACGTTTTCTAAAATGATCAGAGGGAAAGAAGCAGCCATCCTCC